AACCGGAAGATTTATTCACCTCTTCAGTCAACATTATTTGATCCGATAAGAAACGCCTTCAATTTGAAGTACGTTTTATTCCGTCGCGAAATAAAGCAGGGATTGTTGCCTCTATCAAGTATTGAAGGAGTTTAATCGAATGACTGCATTGCGCGATTCGCGCTAAAGTGTGTTAAAAATGAAATAATCTCAGTTATATAACGGTCCTCCTTTGTGGAGGTAGCATTGTGTTTCCTTTTTACTTTTAAGGAATACAGCAAATTATTCCTACATACAACATCATAAAAACACATCTAATAAACAATTATAAACATTACATTTATATCCGCAAAAATATTCGAAATATTTTTGTTCATATACTTGTATACCTACTATTAAGAGACGAAAGTCTTTCGTTTTTCAGATTTACGTAAAGCGAAATTTAAACGAACTCATACGTAACTTTAAATAAGGACTGTAATGTTCTCCTCTTTTTATTAGGGATATTTCAAAGCGTACAATTATTAAATATTATGTTCTCTAATTTTCCTCGCATCCATTACTGCCCTCAATAATTATTAACATACTATATGACTATGTGTAAATACAACGATTTTGTCAAACAGGAGAGTCAACATGGATGCGCTTTCAACGCTAAAAATATAAATTCAGACTAAAACTAAGAGAAATGAACTCGCGACGAAATAGTCTGATCTTGATTACACTAAGTATCATTTATAAAATGATTCTCTGTACAACATGCAGGTACTGCGAAGCTCTGCTGAGTCAATATGAACATCGACACAAAACTTAAAACTAATGACTATTAAACATTTTACAAACTTATCAAGTAGAAGGAAAAATAAATATGTATATCAATAGACCAGCTCAGTGCAAAGTTTAGAGAGGAGAATAAATAAAAGGTTAAGGCATATCGTGATATATTTCGGGGCACTTCGGGAGGCGAATCGCGGTAAAGGAGAGCAGCGGACATGTCTAAATCCTCTCCTTTCTCCTCTTACTTTCAAATTTTCACTTATTCTGAAGAAAGACGCCGTATTTACAATTAAACGTTGGAATATTTGCTTCGATCAAATATTTTTTATCGAAAGGAGTCTCGAAAATGGATTTAAATTGGAAGGCCAACTCCTGAAGAGCGAAAAAAAACACAATTTGAGCCAAAATTAGCAATTTTTTTAAAAAAATAAAAATCAATGTTTAATACTCTTAAAAAACTTGTGTCAACATTTCAAATCATCTACATCACTATCAACAAAGTTATTAGCTTTTGAACACGGTTGGAAACAGGCAACAGCGCGTAAAGCTCGTTTTCCTCGGCCAGTTTTTCTCGATTTTATGATTTTTCAAACTAGAACTCAATTTTAGGAATTTATCGGCTGTGTCCTTTCCGGCATATGTTGCAAAATCAACCTTGCTAAGTAGTAGTAAACTTATCTCAAATTTTGTCGTTTTCATCTTAAGTCCCAGTTTCCTATGCCCAGTAAAATTCTTCCTCGATATTTTCAGGCACATCCTTTTAAAATGCTGAAGTGTACTCGCAACTCATATTTTATCAGAATAATTTGGCAACGTTTGAATGTACATACCGATAGCTAAAGTCGAAAACGCATAGCTCCATTGCGACGTTTCATACTCTCTGATCATATTTTATTTCTCTAAAAAGAAACTAAGCGAAAACTCCATTTAAAATTTTTTGGTGAATGAAGAAAATTCATAGAACGTTTCAAGGAAAACCGTTGGCTGGTTTACTTCTGGAAATAAAACCTAAGCGGGGATTTGTAACGTCGCGTTGCAATCAGAGGTGCATATGTCGCAGGCAAATAGCAAAATCAGGCATTTTGTCAAATGCCTAGGCAAATAGTCAAATATTCTAACTTAGATTAAAATTCTGATTCTTTTCCTAATTTCAGACAAAATAATTCATTGCTCCTAAAAGAAAAAATTCTCAGTAAAAATTTGTACACATAATAGTATTTTAAACAATTTTTAGCTCCTGAAGAGACACTGATCTTGACATTTTCAGCAGGTCGTAAAATACAGAATTTTTGGAATTTCAACATTAGAAAATATGAGAGGCAATTGAAGAGGAAGAGACCAAAAGAGTTCGTAGGTTTGATGAGTTATTTTTCCAAAAATAGTGAAAAATCGTGAACTCTTCGCCATAAATTCATACAATTTTGTGGACCGTCAAAATTTGACTATCAGCCTAGGCATTTGACAAAATGCCTGATTTCACTATTTGCCTGCGACATATATTTCTCGACGTGAGCCAAGATTGGCGATTCTCCTCGTAAGGCAGAATGCATGACCAATAACACACATCTGAAATCATTAATGTTCAAGCTCTGCCTTAAGATCAGAAAATTTTCTCATTGTGCTTATAATTTTGAAACACGAATCTTATATCAGCGAGTCCAAAATTTTATAAGGTTAATAGGACTAGAAAAGTTACATTTAAAACTTAACTTAGCTTTGCGAGCGATCTTTATATAAAATAGTTTTTCTTAAACGATACAGTAGGAATCATAAATTTTTGAGGGGACACAGAAAACTCACTTAGATATCGGATGAAAATTTTGTTGATTGACATTGTATGCACTTGAGTGATTGCAACCTCTTAAATTCTGTCCAAAAACTGGTGATAAAAAAGAGTAAACTCATGAAACGCATTTTTAGTTCGTTGTACATTGCTCACCCAACTAAACAGAACTCGTGATATTTTGTGTGCATATAGTAAATCATTTTTGGTTCATTGCTTTCCGTATTTACCATTATTTACAACTTACAAAAAACTATGTACTCAGTAATTTCAATTTCCTTAATTTTTGAATAGTAGAGATTTCACCTAATTCACAGACATTTTCTCCCTTTTTGAACGTTATTCACCAACGAAAAATAAATTTTAAGTTGCGGCTTCTGAGCTTTCATTTACACGTGCAATCCCGCAACATCGACAAAATCAAGATGGCGTCTGAAATATCCCTCTCGCCACGGGAGCTTTTTTCACCGCGCAATGCCTCGCGCGTGCACCACTTAACCGCGAAGAGAGATATTTTCGGACACCATCTCGGCTTTGTCGGTTATGCGCTTTTCAATGGGGTCTACAGAAACAACCAGGTACTTTGGACTAGTTTTTCGTGGATTACCTATATCGTTCAAAAAATCCCGAACAGTCCATGTGAAATGCGTGCACGCTCTACTTTTCGCAAAAAAAAATAAAATTAAGAAATTACTGAATAAGCTCATCGTTCTCACTCAATGATAATTATAAAATAAACACATTACCAAAAAATCACTAATTTAATGTCTTCCTCATGGAATTGAAACTAAAAAGTGGCTAAAAAATTTATCTCAAAACTAAAAATAATAAAAATCATAACCCAAAAGCTCTAAAATAGGAGTGAAAATAGTTTCATTTTTCTCTTTTTTTCACTCTCTCTAAAATATACATATTTACTTTGTCATTAAAAACAACATAAATTAAGCTAATATCTTTGGTCTCTGAATTTCCGACTCCACATGGAAGTATAAATATTGAAACACTTATTTGTAAGTACCTACTACCTACTTCGAAAAACGTACCTCAGCTTGAGATAAGTTAACCTAAGTACTTATCAACCTAAAAAATGAAATAAATAAATAATTAAGAGGACTCATCTCTCAAAAAGATAGATTTGGCCCTCTTTTTACCTGAGTAAAGTTCTTTTCGTGAGACGATTTTAAGCAACAGCTGAAACTGTTTGAAAATTGAATTACAATATTTTTTTTTACAGTTTTCAATCTACGCTAATAGGATATGGGTACTATTTACGTATATTCAATTTTTTCTTTAAAAATGCACGCGTCATACGCAGAAACCTCTAGTATTTAATTTTCATTAAAAATCAACTAGATAATATTACACACTTAAAAACTGTCCTTAAAGAAATACACACTATTTATGCCTTAATTATAAAAATTGCACTTTTCCAGCCTTTTTTTCATGCAACGCAGTTTGAAAACTACCCAATAAAATTAAGCTGTACAAAGTATTTACAGATATATTTGCGCTTTTGAAAATTTGAGACGATTTAAATTTGCGAAAAATAATGAGAATGAGATATCACGCACGTTCGAAATCTCTTTTAAAGGAGACTCCTCCGCATAGGTCTTCAACACGCACTTATTGTTGCTATCATTTCAACATACTCGCTGTTTGTGTGTTGTTTGCTTTGGTAAAATACACTAAATTTGTAAATATTCCTACTGACTAACATTTACATCTTTAAGTTATTAGGTCTACTGACATAATATGAAATGAATGATCGACCTTGTTTCGGCGCGGCTCTTCCTTCCTTACATTTTCTTGCTCACCTCTTCTTATTTTCTTCCTCTCTTTTAATCACATCCTCTTGCACCGAAACTGTTCATTAGAATGCATCAAAATACCAAAGCAATTATTCGTAGATGCTCCTGAAATTTTGACACGGTAACACTAGAAAAAATCAGGAATAACAAAGAAAACCGTTTCCTCGACAGTTTCTCGTTGTGCTTAGAAAAGTCGTAGCCTCAATAAACGATTCATTGCATCCAGCAATTTTTTTATAACGAGGAAGTTTCACAATAATTTCTGAACGGTTGTCACAACTACAATGATTGCATTGCGACGAGGGAGCTTAGGTTTTTACATCTGAGATGTTAGTCTGTGCCTTAAGTATAGCCTCCTTAACGTAACGCGAAGGTGTTCTCTTCAGCGCAATGAAAAACTACCGATGAAACGGTTCAGTTGGTTGGAATTCAACAATTTTTTCTTAAAATCGTCACCTTCCAGGCAAAGTATCACAAGCGCCATGCGACGTTTAAAAATTTCCGCCGCCATTTTATTTTTTTACAGAGAAATTGTTCAACGAAGCTGTCCGAAAATTTCACTGAATTTTCTTTGTGCTGCCGATAAAATTTAGTGAAATTTCCAAACAGATTCAACCAACAATTTCTCAGTAAAGAAATAAAATGGTGGCGGAAATTTTTAAACGTCGCATGGCGCTTGTGATACTTTGCCTGGAAGGTGACGAAATGTTGATCATCAGGTACAGGCCCATAAATTAATATTTCGGCAAAAACCTACTGTCTGCCACCGTCAGCTAAAACCTTTTGCAGGTTGCCCTTTGCTAAAATTTTGGCATTTTTATTCTCTGTGGGGAGAACGGTGACGAAACTAACATTACTGTCGGAATCACTCTGGTTGAGACCGCTATCAACGGACAGGGAACCAGACTTGGGCGTGTTGGGCGTCTTGCGGAAATTGTTACCGTAGAAAAAAGAGTCGGTTGCCATACTCTCAGCCCCGGACTCGCTGGCACCGTCGAAGGACTCGTCGGTCTCGCTGCCGGATATGATCTCGCTCAAAACTCTCTTGCGGTTCTCGTTGGACTCATTGGAGTCGGTGCTCAAGTAGCCGGAGTCCTCGGTGTAGTGTCGCCAGAGTCGCTTCTTGCTGCGCTTCCCGTTGGTTCCGTTGGGGCCGATGAGGAGTTTGGCCTTGGGCTTCTCGTCGTTGTCGTCGCCTTGTCGACCGTCCGTATTCATGGCCTCGTAGTCCGAGGAGATGGGGCTCTTGGTCCGGCCAGAAGCAGCAGGGGTGGTCTTGTGCGGAGCTGAGTTGGTAACATTCGGGAGTTCGGGCAACGGTCGACGGTTCATGTCGCTCAGGCTGAGCTTGGTGATCCTAGGAGGTAACCCTACTTTGTCTCTGGTGCTTCTGACCATGGCGTTTTTTGGCGGCAAGGGTGGTTTGATGGAGCGCGGCGGGAGGGGTGGCGTCTTGTCCACGCTCCTCAGCTCGATCTCGTTGTAGTAGTCGCTCGGTTTCGGGGGCCGCGGGGGCTTCAACTCGATGAACGGCTTCGGCGGAGACGGTGGTCTCTGTCGTCGCGCCTGCTTCGAGTCCACGTTCAAGAACTTGCCGTAGTCCTTCTCCGTGTCCCACGAGAGTGTCGAATAATCCGTGTCGCTATCGTCGCCGCCGTTCGTCATCGAGGAGGACAAGCTGTTATCGGATCTCAAGTTCTTGTCTCTTCGAGAGCCCTTTTCGCTCTTCGAGTTCTTATCAATCCGCGAGTTCTTATCGTTTCTTAAATTGAGCTGATTCATCTCGATCTCGGCCCTGGTTTTGTGGTTCATGTACTTCTTCTCCGGTTTGGCGTTGGCTTTCTTCAGGTTGTTTTGCTTCGACTCGAAGATGGCTCTCAAATTGCCGATATTGTGAGAATTGGTCACTTTGTTCAAGAGCTCGTTCAAGTCTTCGTTGAGCGTTCTATCGCGTTTGAAACCGCCGTTGGCATGCGGTGGTCTCTCGAGGCTGTCGGTGAATTCATAGTCTGTGTAGATGCTATCGGGCACCGCGCGATTCTTGTTGAAGGCGCTTATGAGATTGTTGTTGTTCTCGAAGGGTTTCAGCTTGTTTGACACGGGTTTTCTATCGAGAGTGTCCGGTTCGAAGCTGTCCGAGTCATCCGGGTTGTAAGTGTGGTCCGTATCTTCCACCTCGATCATAAGATGCCCCGGCTGCTGTTTATAGTGGATCTTGGCGTCCTTGCCATTGGGTGGCTCCGGTGGGTTTGTCTGGTTACTGGTGAGGCTCGAGGAGTTGCTCGTGGAGCCGGAACCAAAAGTGTCGTTGATATATACCTCGCTCACCAGGCTGTAACCCTCTGGTTCGGTGTGATCTGCTAATATGTCGTTCTTACTCATGGGTCGACCAGTCTGAATCTCGTTCTGCGCCATCGATATAATCTCGTATTCGTGGTCCTCGATCAAGGGTGGTCGTGGACTCCGCGCCATTTTTGATATCGTCTTGTTGCCCGTCGTCATGTTCAGAATGTCGTTCCTCATCTCCACCTCTTCGTCCATAGGTAGGCGAGAGCAGTGAATCAACCCGTTGTTCAACTCAGTTCTCTTGATCAGAACGTCGCCGTAATCGGAAGGAGTCCTTATGCCTCTATCGTCTCCGTTGAGGTCGTAGATGGACTTGTCCAAACTGTCCGTTTCGAAGTCCGACAACCGGCCCTCATCTCTGCTCTTCAGTGAATCCAACCGAAGCGGAGGAATGGGTTTGCTCGTGTTTTCCACAGCAACTCCTACCTTTGTTTTTTCGGTTTCTGCAACCGGCGCAGGAGAACTATTGTCGTCTTTTTCGATGTCGGTTGCATTCAATGCTGGGTTGTGTTGGTGCACTATTATCTTACTGTTGAGTTTAGACTCTCCGTTCTTCTTCATAGGTAGCGGCGACCTCGTCTCTGAGATTTTAGATCGATGGGGCGGTGGATTTACCACGGGTTCAGCTCTGAACTCCTCCTCTACTGGTGACGGTTGCTCTTCCCTCGGATCCGTGTCGTTCAAGCCTCGCACACCAACGAACTCTTTGATGACAGCGTCCATCAGCTTCTTGGCCACTTTCGGTACTTTGAAGTTCTCTTTGCTCACCGATGACTCGGCAAGGGACTCCGTGTCTACCACCCCGGTATCTCCACTGCACATGGAAGGTGGAGGTGGAGGAGGCGGAGGGCAAGGAGGAGGCTTCATTTTCGTTCTGCTTGCTGCGTTACTACCATTCTTCCTACCCTCCGACTCTGCAGTGGACATGAGGTCTTCCTGAATCGTTTTCATGCGGTTAATTTCGTTCTGCTGGTTCACGTATGGCAGGTTGGAAAACGCGATGGACTTCCTACTGAGGTTTGACCGACAGGACCGACCGCTCCTATAGCTGGTGGCGCTTTGAGCGCTCTTCCCACTACGGGCACTGCGGCCACTTCGGCCACTCTTCCCGCTGTTACCCGACCTACCACTCATGATGCTGGACTGGTCGTTGAATTCGTTCTCGATGAATTTTATGGCAGTTCCACTGGGCATCAATCGCGAGCTGAAGTGGTGGTCATCCAAACCGTGTCTTTTGGCGATGGCTCTATTGTGGCAGCTTCTGCGGCTGCATTTAGAAGATGCGACAGACTCCGAATCGCTCAGAGGACACTTGGGCTGGAGGGGTACGTCCTGGAGCCATTTGCGTATGCTCTTTTGTTTGGTCTCGGCCTGGTGGTGGTTGTTGTTGTAGCAGTGGCGGCAGACGTTTTCTTGTTGCTGCAGCTCTCGTTGGCAGTCGGGACAATCCTCGCAGCTGATGATACTGCTCCTGCCAGCTCTACCGTGCTCCTCTTTGATCAGGCTGCTCGGGCGGCTTCGTTCGTGTCTGTAGGAGGCGCCACCGTGGCGGCTACTCCGGACACTCGACATTCTACTCGTGGGTCGCAACGGGTTTCCGTAGTCTTCCTCCGGGATCCCGATCAGGTTCGGGGTGAATTTTTTGGCAGCCATCTTGTGCTTTGCAATCGCTATTACCTCTCGAATTTTAGTTAAAAATTCGATCGCAGCTGGTGGCGGGGCCTGAAAAAACATAAAGTAGACTCTTTACAAATCCGGACAGAAAAGGATTTTTCAGATATATATTCTGCGGGTCTTGAAATAATACCGATGAATAGAAAGATATACAAGAAAAAATGTTAAAAAATGTGTCCCGAACTATGTGTGACAAGTTAGCAAAATGGTTCTGGGTCCACTCTATTTTGCGGGAAAAACTACTTTTTTTTTAACTCTTTTGAACTTTTTGGGCTTGTTTTCACCGCAAAATAATGTGAACGCAGCACTATTTTACCACCTTGTTCCGAAGGTATGTATATGAATTAAAAGGAATAAACCACATACATCACCTTGTCGTAAATCTAATATTACTCGTACTTTTCTAAATTTTTAAGGAGTTTTATTTTTCTTCGTTTCTTCTTTCGATGACAAAATGATTCAAACCATTTCTAGCATATATCATATTATTTTCCTTTAACAAAGGAGAGAAACATTTTTCTTTTCTATAAACTTGACACCATGGACGAAAATTTATCGGGCATTATTGTGCATGTTTGTTTATCTTATCATTAGCGATCTGTGGGTTTTTTGCCTAAGAATATCACAACATACCGCGGCAACAATAAAGCAGTACAGTCTCGACTAGGCGGAAGCTCGGTTTGATTTTACGGCTCAATAATAATGTTATTTAATCGTCGTGGTTCGAACAAGTGAACATTTTACAGCTTTGAGATCCAGTATCTTTATTCAAAATTCAATCGGTATGCATTGAACTGCGTGATTGAGACGGAGAGGCGACGGAAACGTTGTAAAGGAGGAAGATGAACACTTTTGAATAAATTAGAGTTATCATGCAGGTAGCGACAATGCAGTAAAAAATAACTGTAAAAAATGAGATTCAAATTAAAACAAGAAGTTTTGGGTTACGCGAGCGGATCGATAAAACGGAGGGAAAAACGAAGCGGGGCATCGGTATTTAGCCGCGATTAGGCACTTTAGTGGGATAATTTTGTTACTGATCCACATTTCGTTGTTAATGAAGCAGCGGCAGAGGATCTCCGTGGCGCTTTTCGCCGGATTGAATAAAATTAGCCGCTGAATTAAACGAGGACTTTAAATGGACACCGTCCACTGATTGAGAGAGATGAAAACAACTTTAACACATCTATTGGTCTATTTGATTCTCAGACGGAAGTGACATTCTACAAAATGGATCACATATACCCATACTTATATTTGTTTATTTATTTACCTAGATTTAAAAAAAAACCCCGAGTTGTGCATAGCTTTGGTTAGATTCAGAGCCAGTGAGCTCCTTAAGTATCACGTTACGGACGTAGACGATGCACAAAGGAGGACCTTTCCGGCCTTACAACATATTGCATACCCCCATGTCAACGTCGCCAAGATCGTGGAACTCCTGCTCTTACGAACTTGCATCCAAAAGTCTTTACTTACATGAATTCATTCAATTTATAGTTTGTTCGTCTCAAAATCCTCAGGCATTTTCCCGACTTGAAATCCCCATTTCTTAGTCATGCTCAATGTGGGTTATTTATTTTCGTCGAATTTGATTTACTAATTGACACTCGTTCAGAAGAATTTCCAAAATTTTGTTGACGAATTATAACGAGTTGATTTAATTCAAATTTGGCAACGGTACATTAGGCCAGTGACGGAAGCTCCCGCCACGATCCTCTCATTTTCGATTCAAATCATCGGCTGTTAAGTGCAGTTCCGATTTTTCGCCAATTGTGCAGGTTTAAGTCACCATTAAATTACGGCCGCCAACTGTCAGCTGTTGCATCTTGCACGTCTTTATGGGGGTAAAGAGAAATCGGAAAGGAAGTGCATTGCGGAGGCGTAACATTCCTTGTACATTAAGCACTTTCAGTGGAGATCTATAATGGCGGATGCAGGACGAAAATCATTATTTTAGTGAGAAAACTCGAAATAAGTGGTTCTTCTGGTGTTACGGCGTTATAACTGAAACTATTCCTAAGTTTGCGACTTTGGCAATAAGTCTCTCCTGCGCTCCTCTCAAATATCAATTTATCGTACTCTAACTTCGAAATGCTCGACTGAAAGAGCCAATTACGGGATTCCTAAAAACTCTTTACGACAAATGATTCAGAATTAACAATTACGAGGGTAATTAAGATTCCCTACCTTGTATCGTTTAAATATTTCACCTGAAGTGCTATTTTGTCTGACATTATCGCACGTTGATAGTGAAATTATCAAACCATGTACCTCGGAAAACCCTACTTCTTGATAGAGCAAGTAACCTATGAACTCTCCGATCCTCAAGTTTGGTTTTTGAATGGGAATTATTTACTGACAGCAACAATAAAATGCTCTTCAACATCAACACTCTCAAACTCCAATTATTTGTGGAAATAACTTCAACTGATGGGGCGTATGAGAGCAAATCAAGGCCTACTGAGGAAAAAACTTCGACTACAGTAGGGACACAACGTCGGTCACAATAGGGACACAACTTCGGTTCATATTGAACATCAAAGTTTTTCCGTCATAGGAGTAGCTGAAACCAAAGTTCGGTTTCCGCGACAGAAATCTTTCATGTATAACAAAGCCCTGGTAAAAATTGACAGTAGAATGTGTGTTCCAAAATACTATAGACCAAAAGCCGGCTGTAAGATTTCCAATAGCTTCTGTACCGGCTGTACAATTTCTTATAGCCTTTTATAGCCGATGGCGATTAAGCAACAGCCAGACGATAAAGTTTATACTAAACGTTACTAAATACGGATACTAGGACTTAGTTAGTTTTTGGACTACCGCTCTCTTTTTGTGCCGTAGTATCTTGATTTATTTTGCGAGGAAAGCTCCGTACCTTTGAAGGATGCCTGTCATTCTTAATATGTTGGAGCGCCTTCAATTCCTTATGATACGGTGCAATACCTCTGGTGTGAAATAGTTGCTTCAGACGCCGTGGCACGCTGCGGCGCGGCGGGCGGGCAGAGAGCGCGAAACGCGCATTGGCGCCTACAAACCTAACAGGGATACTTCACGCATTGGGCATTGCGCAAAGCGTGAGGTATCCCTGTTAGGTTTGTAGGTGCCAGTGCGTCGCCGCGCAATGCGTGAAGTATCCCTCTTAGGTTAGTAGGCGCCAGTGCGTCGCCGCGCAATGCGTGAAGTATCCCCGTTAGGTTTGTAGGCGCCAGTGCGTCGCCGCTCCGCTTTGTGTTAGGCTCTAATATTTAATCTCGCGGAGTCAGCGTTTTTCAACTCATGATTTTGAAATTTTTGCACACTCTGTATGGACCATCTCATTTTAATTGATGAAAAAACAATATGTTTCAAAGGAAAATATGATGTGTATTTTGTAAATATTAAGGTAGTTCCGTATCAAACTTAATGATTTCCAAAGCACACGAATTTTTACACAATTTATTATAGCTTTTTATAGCCAATGGCGATAAAGTGTAAAATCCGGCGATAGGAACTATAGCCCGACTGTATACTTTTTTATAGCTTCGTATAGCTCGGCTACATGATTTGCTCCGCTTTCTACAGCTAGCTATATGATTTTCAATAGCCTTCTTTAATCGTCTATAAGAACTCCTATGGTATTTTGAAACGCAGCTCGTATCGCCAATTTTTACCAGGGGGACCGAATTTTTACTCTTTGTGCACGCATTTTTAAAATATATATCGACGGTAAAACTCCCAAACCTCGTACCTCGTTTGCGGTGTTTAAAAATCCCCGCTGCCTTCTCATTTTTTTGATGGAAAACAATTTACCCAAAGTTTTTACAGAATTTCCTTCGCATGGCGAGGAAAAATCAAGGAATTTTTAAGGATTGGACGTATTTATGCCAAAAGAAACTATGTGCAAGTGGAAAGATGGGGTGTGCTAGTGGTGAGCTGGATAAGAAACAATGTAAAAGTGGATACAGTTCCTTTAGAGAAAATGGAAAATCGGGATTTGTCATTAAATCAAAAGGAACTGAGCGCTAACTCGCGAGCCGTGGACATGTGACCAGAGCCTTGTGCACAGGGCTCATGAGTTAAAGCCGAGCAAGAACGACAATGGAAACGGCATCGTTGCCGCTGACGTCACTGGCGCTTTAAAATCCCCTTTCATTATCATGGGCCGAGCACTAACGAGCACACCCCATTTTTTTTGCTCGCACATACTTCCATTTAGCATAAATAGTCCAATCGTCGCTCAGTAGGTTTCCATTTTAAAGAAACAAAAAGTATCAGATAATGTCTGCAACGTTAGAAACCAAGATACGTGGTTTGGGAGTTCCATACTGGATATGTATTGTCTTTTGGACGGACTTGGGCTGGGCCCGATTGGATACTTACTAAAAGAAGCTCGGGCTCAAAATAGGCTGGGTTGAAGTAGAGCTTTTTGCGGGATTGTCGCTTAGTATGTTACCATTTTAAAGAAACAAAGAGTATTAGAGACAGAGGCGGATCCAGCAATTTGGCAACACCGAATTTCCTCCATTTAAACCTATGCTAATTAATCGATTCTCATCGGAGCACCTGGCTCCTAAGAATCGATACATTTCCATAGGTTTAAATGGAGGAAATCTGGTGTTGCCAAATTGCTGGATCCGCCAATGATTAGAGAAAGTCTGCAACGTTGGAAACGAAGATACGTGGTTTGGGAGTTCCATGCTGGATATGTATGGTCTTTTGGACGGACTTGGGCTGGGCCCGATTGGATACTTACTAAAAGAAGCTCGGGCTCGAAATAGGCTGGGTTGAAGTAGAGCTTTTTGCGGGCGTTGGCGCAGGTCATGGCTTTGACAGTTTCGGGCCGGTCCTCGCGCTGCTCCAGCGTTTCCACGATGGACACGTTCTCTTCCGGCAGCCGCTCTATTGTGTTCTGATCAGATAACTGGAGGGGCTCCATGTTGTAGATCCCCTCCTCCGATCCCTCGCCCCCCTGCCCGTGCCCCTGCCCTTCATTCCCGCCCCCGCCCCCTCCCCCGTGCCGCCGTGGGTGGACCATCGCCCAGGTCCGCTGCATCTGGAAACAGAGTGATGTCTTAGAGAAAAAAGAAAAGAGCATGGATTGCACTTGACAATACACAAAAATAATAATCTCAATACGACAAGAACGAACACGCGAAAATGAGTATACAAGCCTCAACCAAAACTGCCTAGCGCGCTTCGGGGTGGTTGGAGGTCAGAGACAAGAGACCCTCCACTGTCCTCTTGGCGACAGGTGGAAGCTGTTACTTTCGGGGATTCAACACTTCCTTATGAACAATTATAAGGGAGCAACAGTCGTTACTCTTTTTTCGGCTGTTGACCTACCTACATGGTGGATGATGAGCTTCGGGTGATGTCATGAGCCAAAAAAGCTTCCCAAACTTCGGCTTTTTCGCAAAACGAAACTGCCAACACGTTGTTGCGCATCAACCATGTAGGTAAGTCAACAGTTTAATGTTGAAGTCCCGAAAGTAAAAGCTCCCACCATAGCCGAGATACGAGTGAAGGGTCTCTTGTCTCTGTCGACGGTAGGTTCGCGTGAATGGTCGTGGAGGCCTGGTCCCCTCTTCGAGCAAAAAAAAAATAATAATAATTCAGGAGGAAAGGAGAGGCAACAAAAGAGAAAAAATACATGAGTAATAGTCAATACTCCTACGGTAAGACCGATAATAACGTGACCACAAAATTACGATTATCTCGTCTTCGAGGTAAAAACACTATGTCCATGTAATCACCATTAGCTCCTCATACTCTTTTACCTCTTTTGCTGTTCTTCATTCCCAAAACGAATGTTCGCAAAACAATCTATGAATTCGTTTTGAATTTTATAAAAGCTTAATTTTCTGCCCCGGAATTTGTTTGTACATTGAGAATATGGAGCACGAATTTGCTTTTGAAGTAGAAATGATTTTGAATTTTTTTCACGATATATGATTTTTCCCAGAATTCATAAAAAGATATTATGGAACCTATATATAGGGTGGTGTCGATATGAGCGATACGAGCAAAAGTTGTCTCAATTCAATCGATACCGTTTACTTACAACAGCAAACCGTGAGAGTTTGTGAGAACCCATTGTTTAAGTACGTTCAGGTCCCAAACTCTAACCGCTATCTGTGAATAAGGGCTCGTGGCCCGAATAATACGAGGCGGAGTATCGTGCGCAAGAAACAATGCATGAAAGAGCGAGCAATGAAGGGCGATACGCTATTGGTAGTGAAAAAGCGGGTCCATCGGTAGATCGTTCGTGAATGACCTTGATCTATAGATAACATTGATGAGATAGGGATGTATCGATCAAGGTCATTCGATGAAGATTCAACAACGACCAGCAGAATACGTGCCGTTTTTTTTTTTCATATGGTCCCTCCTTCCCTCCACCCTCCCCGTTTTCTATGCCTCATAAAATTTATGGCTTCATCAAAGGAAAGAAATCGAGCCAAGAAATTGACCAGCGCAACAACTGACCCATTAAGGCAGAACGCCGTATGAACATTCGAAGGCTGCCAAATTTCCTTCGATAAAATGTTCATTTTTAAGGAAAGTTATGAATATTTTTCCTTTAAATTTTCAGAATCTTTGAGTAAAATTGCGAACTAAATTATCTGAAAAATTGGGAGGCAAATATTCATAAATTTACCAGGAAATTCGCGTTTTATGAAAGGAAATTTTGCAACGCCTAAAGGTTCTACGGCGTTTTTTCATAGCACGGCAGCATTGAACTCTTCCATGTACAGGTAGGGAGCGAATACATCGATAGGGTTGCCGTGGCCGTAGTGTTAGGATCTTTATAAAATTTTGCTACCCTGCACTGAAAAAAATTCTCGGCGTTTTTACCAAGGTCCGCTGATACCTTTACCATCTCACTTTTTTTACCAATTATTGGTAATTTTACCAAGACAAACTGGTTAACTTACCTAAAAACCTGTATTTTTACTGTTTTTTTTCAGGTAAGAATACCACTTTTATTGGTAATCAATTCCCGATAACTTTGCCATTTTATCTCGGTAATTCTACCACATTCGATAAAAAATATTGGCGTTTTTACCGGGGTCCAGTAAAATTATCGAGAAAGTCAATAATTTGACCGAGATTTCTCGATAAAATTAGCAATTCCATAAACGGTAATTTTACCAAGAAAAAACTGGGATCAAATGGACCGCGTTAAACAGAAAGGAACCAAGCCACATCAGCTATTGCCAAATTTAAGTGGGCACTTTAGTTTTTTACGAGGAAACGTTTGTGCGGATTTTTTTGAAAATTTTAAGGAATTCGCTTCGCACTGTGAAGAAAATTCACCGAAATTTGCATGAAAATCTGCACAACCGTTTTCATGTAAAAAATTAAATTGCCCAGTTAAATTTGGCAATAGCTGATGTGGTTTGATTCCTTTCTGTTTAACGCGGTCCAAATAGAACCCTGAATTCTTGATAATTTTACCCTTTTCTTAGTAAATACACCGATAAATTTTTTCAGTGAATCTTTATAAAATTTTGCTACCCTGAAGCTCGGACTTTACCTTATCATCGAGGCAGTTCTCTGAGCGCTCGGTGTCGGAGCAGCAGCTGCCGCCGGACTCGGAGAGGAAGCCCTCGTTGTCCTGCCCTTCCGGACAGTGCTGGAGCAGCGGGTTGTTCTTGACGACACCTTCATCCGGGATGATGAGCGAGTCGCGGGTGTTGCCGTCCACGCTCTCGGTGTCGCCTTTGAAGCAGCCGTGCTTGATCCTGTGCCGCTTCCGCAGGTAGAAGTAGATGGCCGCCACGTAGATGAACCCGATCGACAGACAGAAGATCCCGATCGCTATCTGCTCCGCTGCCGAAAGGCTCCGAGTGTCCGCTTCCTTCCCCACCGCGTTCCGCATGTCCGCTGAAAACGACACCTCCCGCACGCCTGAAACATCGCATATTTTTCAATTTTGTTCTGATCATTGCTCCCATGTCCAACATATTTAATGAGCACTGGAAAGAAAACACATTGGATCTAGAGTGCAGACTCTTAAAAACATCGACAAGAAAAAGTACTCTTGATTCGATCAGAATTTAGCTTCAATCAAGAACCAGCCTCTTAATTTAAGCGGATTTCGTTTTGATTCAAGGAAAAATCCGATTGAATCAAGAGTATTTTTTATCAATGTTCTTAAGAGTCTGGACTCTAGATCCAATATGTTTTTTTCCAGTGAGTCGAGCAACATTGAAAAGCTTAGGGACTAAAATGCAGGGTAGGAAAGTAAACCATTCCCTGAAGTTAGTAAGTTGGAATTTTTTGGCCAACGCGCGTTAAAATCCAGAGACCTGCGTCGCGTCTGCAGTTGCCTTCCTGAATGTTCGTAACTAGTGTTACACCAAACAGCGCATCTCTATAAGGGAAATTTGTGCTGGGATGAGCTTTTTCCCTCTGTATTGAGATTTCCAGTTTTCTGGATTTTAACGTACGTTGCCTAAAAAATTTCAACTCATTGTCCATACGACTCGTGCGTCTACCGCAATCAGTTTGTGTATTCCCTGAAGTGGCAACTCCCTATTTGTCCACTTCAGTTGGCCTTGACCGAAATGGTGGAAATCATCTCGACGGTGAAACTCCGAAACCACGTATCTCGTTTGCGTTGTTTAAAAATCTCCACTCCTGTTTTATTATTTGAAGGAGAGCCCTTCTTAAAAACCTCTGTTACTTTTCTTCCCTGGGCACAGTAAATCCTAAAAAAAAAACCTCAAGAAGGAATGACAATGAGTAGTCCTCCATTTAAAAAAATGAAGTAGGGCAGGAAGTCTGTAATGTCGCAAACCGAGATACGTGGTTTTGGAGTTTCACCATCGATTTACTTCCAAATACCTTGATGAATCTGTCCAGTCAGTAAACACACAGGAAAGCCAGGGGATTTAAACGCAGTAATAGAAAAGTAAACCATTCCCTGACTTGACAAAACCCTATTTTTCCAGTCTAGGTGACCATGACCGAAATGCTGAAAAACATTTACTTCCCAACACCTCAATGAGTCGGTAAACAAACAGAAAAGCTTGGAGACTTAAACGCAGCGATGGAAAAGTAAACCCTTTTCATGACGTGACTACTCCTTATTCGTCCAGTGTGGTTGGCCATGACCGAAATGCTGAAAAACATCTACTTCCCAACACCTCAATGAGTCGGTAAACAAACAGAAAAGCTCGGAGACTTAAACGCAGTGATAGGAAAGTAAACCCTTTTCATGACGTGACTATACTTCTTATTCGTCCAATGTGGTTGGCCATGACCGCAATGCTGAAAAACATTTACTTCCCAACACCTCAATGAGTCGGTAAACAAACAGAAAAGCTTGAAGACTTAAACGCAGCGATAGAAAAGTAAACTATTTCATGATACAGCTCTATACTCGTCCAGTTGAGTTACCCATGACAGCCATGGTGAAAAACATATTTTCTTTCAAACACCATAGTGAGTTGGTAAACACACTAGGAAGCGTAGGGACTTAAACGCAACGATAGAAAAGTAAACCAACTCAAGACGTGAAAACTCCCTCTTTATTCAGCTAAGTTGGCCAAGAGTCGCCGCAAAGTAGTATATCAAGAACTGCGGTGACCACATCAGATTTTCAGTGTTTCAAGATGGAAGAGGAGAGCGCTTCGTCCGAAAAGTTACTTGAGGCGGTAAACACCGCCTGAGCGAACCCGTCGTATTTCACAATTCATGACGCTGAATAGCTGCATTTTGTCAACAATATTTTACTAAGGATCATTAACAGCCCACTACAACATCCCACCAACGGGCACTTAGTCCCTCCGGTCCGCGGGTTTGTAAGCAATCGCGAGATCTTATCGCTTCCGGATGATGCTATTACCATGTATCGATTGTTACCGCGGGTTAATGGGTTACTTGCTTCGCAACGCTGCGTTGCTATTTTCAAATAATTTTTGCCGTTGCGAATTTCTCTTTGCGTGAAAATCTGACCATGTGTCTTTATAGTGTGGCCAGTCATGAAAATCCGGGATTTGGAACATTTTTTTTCGGATTTCGCAAGAGTTCTGGGGTAAAAAAAAGAATGAAAAAAAAACTATAACATGAAAATGATGCAGCTATACGTTTTCTTAAAAGTAACACCGGCAATAAAAATGAACAAGAAGAAAATTCACATGGTTTAGTACCATTTTTACTTTTGAAGTTTATGAGCTTTAGACCGGAAAGTGCGGAAAACATACTCGGGGTTAGGCTGCAAAAACGTTAAAAGCGCGATCAGACGGCATTTCCAACCGCTCAATGAGCATCATTACAAACATTTAATTGTTCCCCAAATTACCGCACGCGGCTAGTGCTGATTGAAGGATTGTGAAGGATTTTTAAGCGGCTTGACAGGCTGTCTAAACACGCCTTCATTATGAAGAAGAGAAACAGACTGTATGGAGGGATCAACTCGGCATTCAGAGATTGAATGACCGTGAGAAATAAACGCAAGATTGCTCAAAACAGCAAGAAAGATGGGAAACATACAAATTCAACGTGATGAGAAAAATTTTAGAAAAAATCCACAGGAATGCTTGGAGACTTAAACGCAGCAATAGAAAAGTAAACTATTCCCCCAGTCTAGTCGGCCATGGCCGCAATAAGAAAAACTTGTTCTTCCCAACACCTCAATGAGTCGTTAAACACACAGAAAAGCTTGGAGACTTAAACTCAGGGATAGAAAAGTAAACCCTTTTCATGACGTGACCACTCCTTATTCGTCCAGGGTAGTTGGCCATGACCGCAATGCTGGAAAACATTTACTTTCCAACAGCTCAATGAGTCGGTAAACAAACAGAAAAGCTTGAAGACTTAAACGCAGCGATAGAAAAGTAAACTATTTCATGATGTTACAGCTCCATACTTGTCCAGTCTAGTTATCCATGACAGCCATGGTGAAAAACATATTTTCCGAAAATGTGCAAAGTTTAGAATTTCAGAACTAATGGTGGGGAATGGCAGCGCTGCGGAGTCTTGGGATGGATCACACCTTCGCGGTAATTCAACTTACTTGGGGTGCCGGCGACTCGAAATGCCACACACGGAGTGAATATTTGTTGGTCTTGCAGGTTCATCTTGTCGACCTCCTTGCAAATCAAGTCCACCTTTATGAGACGCCCCTCCATGCTCAGCCTCAGGTCCGCGTCCCCCAACCACTGAAAGAAACAAACGTCATCCGTAAGTCCGAAGCTTTCAATAAAATGATCCAGACACTACTGTTAAAAATCAATGATTTGCTCTGAGCAAATAGCCGGCGTGAACAAAAAATCCAGCGCGAATTTCGTGCCGTACTGCTCTATTCATTCTATCATAAAATTCATTCCTATTAATTTTTCGTGACAGTTGTTTTATTGCGGAAACCAGAATCATTTATTTATCCTTTTCATATTGTCTATTTATTTTTTTAAAGTCATGATATTTTTCAATTTATAAAACGTTGAAATTCCAAGATCTAATGCCTGAATGTGTGGAATACTTACTCTCAAGAAGGTTCTTCCTTCGTCTCGAAAAAGTCTAAAGGGCGGTTCAGTATCAGAGCGGTTTCGCAGATCAGCCCATCCCCCGCCTGTGAGGAATAATGCTTTCGAGACGACGCACATAGGTGTGACGCTTCCTGGAAACAGAGAAAAAAAAATGATATTAATGAGATGTATGATTCGATGAGCAGCAGGTACTCTCTCAAAAAGCATAAAGCACATTCATGTTATGCTATCAAGTTATACTGTTAAGATGTACTCGAGTTTCGTAAAATTGTCCTTGAAATGATGCTATGTGAAGTGCCCTTGAACCTCCCTTCGTCACAATATTGAGATCATATGAAGCCTTACTCAGCTGCTGAAGGAACGAATATAAACACGGCCTTTTGATTTACAACTCTGCTGCAATTTTAACGAGATGTTTCCTACGTGAAAAAATAAAGGCCCCTTCATTTGAGCCCGATCAAGAGGATAGGATAGAATCTCAAAGACGTACTCAAAGGAGACTGACGGGTAGTCTATCGACTTTTCACCCACTTATCTATCTATTATATCGGGTGATGGACTGTAATTGATTTTTTAACAACCCACCATTTAAACGTCGCGCGTGCATGTAAACGGGGCGATGTTGTCAATTCAACGCTTCCGAGTGCCTCAGATGGATCGCACAATGCGTCAGATCTCCGGTAAAACCTGACGCCATACTGCCGTGCTAAGGAAAAACGCAGTATGAGCCTTCAGGCGTTGTCAAATTCACCTCTATAAAAACAAATTCACTGGATAATTTATTGATATTTTGCTTCAAATTTTTCAGACGACATTATTCGCAATTTCATCTAAAATATCTGAAAATTTCAAGGAAAAATATTTATAACTTTCCTCAAAAACACACGATTAATTTTAGGAAATTTGGCAACTCTCGAATGTTCATGCGGCGTTTTTTCTTAGCATGACAGTATAACTGTCCGTATTCATTGTTGTTCCTCAAGCAGCTCCCTAACTCATGAGGCTTGTTAAATGACCATGGAGGAGGTCCCTAGAGGTCTTTGATAACGCAGCATTTTGGGGACAATTTTTACGAAATTCGACAGTACAACTTCGAAACTAGACCCTTGCGAGGGATTGCAATGATTTACCATTGCAAAAATGCGAATACAAAGGAAGAAATTCGATGATCTTGACAAAAGCTATGTTGCCAGACATCTCAATATTTTTTTAACTTTATTCTTCAAAACTTGTGCACATCCTTTGATGCTTTCGGAGGCTAAGCTTTATGAGAGAAGAAATATTTGGTCAACTTTTGAAGTAATTTTGTGCGTTAGCGTTGGTTTTTCCAAAAAAATTTGACGACTTGGGCGGCATAGTGCCTAAGCACAAATGGTGCTTATGATAGGTACTTCGGTGGAAGGTGGCGATGTTTCAACATTTGAGGGTAGTTGAACGAAAATCTCAATAAGCTAAATTGTTCTTTAGTTCTCTGTTAAAGAAATGAAACGTGAGAGGTAATAGGACAACGCGAAAGAAAGTCAGGTTGATTTTAGCAAAACCCGTTCATTTACCTGGAAAAAATGCTGATTATAAACTTTTGAGCTAATTAATAGATTCCCCTCGGCTCAATCTGTATTGTTTGATCTCATTGCTGTGTTCGAACGGCTGTGTCTAAATTATGAAGATGTCTGCGAAGTATTGATCTTGGAATGGACGGAGGCATCCCACTGTGCGGTGTCGTTATCATTAGGTTGGTAGGTCATGCGAGTGATTGGTGGCCGTCCGCATCCGATCGGCCTGTCACTAACTACGTAAATTGGCCGCGGAGAAAAAACCGGTGCTTGCTCCTTGCTCCTTGCTCCTTGGTCAGGAGGTAGATGCACTTAATTGAGCAAGGAATCCTCTTTATGCAATTCCAGTGGCTTCGGCTGCCGTAAATTCTAGCTGTCCGACGGCGTTTGGGGCGTCCTCCCTCTCGGTGCTTAGACACCCCGTGTCCCCCTCTCCCTCACCAGCAGACTGATTATTGAAATTGATGGACAAAGCTAAAGACAAAGAAGACATAGGGAGTATGAAGCGATCCTATTGGTTGAAGTGGGTGACTCCTATAGACAAAGGGAGAAAATGATAGACTCTCGTGGGTTGCCGTTAGTTAGTCCATTACCTACCTCATTTGTCCATAGAAACCACCCGCTTCCACCAATAGGATCTCTCCATATATCTTTTGTCTCCTTTGTCTATAGTTTTGTCTATCAGTTTCAATAGTCGGCCCGCAGTACGGGAATCAAGGTGCAAGGCTAAGAAACACCAGTCAGTTTGGTAGCCTGCTCGGGAAAATACCGTTGAGCCAATGGTCTTGTTGTGGATACAGTGCGTTCATAGAGTGAGTGCGGCCGCTGGAGGATCCACTCCTGATCGTCCATCGTAGGTTTCATGGAGCACTTAGAATAAGAGAAAAAAGGAAGGGACGTTGCTTGCAGATAATTCAAAAGTGTAGATAAACTTTATATAAAAGTTACCACCAGGTTGGAAACAATCTCATCACCATCTTCCGCTCCCAATTACAGTCGCCGTCATTTTTTTTTTATTCTAGGGGCCACAACGAGACCCAGTGTCCGCACTCACTCAGTATAGGTACTCCAGGCATTAGGTCTTAGATCCTGTGAAACTGCCCGGTGAATCGTTATTTTGAATCACTGGAACGGCGAGGCAGTAGGGAGTATCCAAATACTAGACGTGTAGACGTGGTATACCTGTGAGAGGGATGGTTTCGTGTAATTTCCCTTACGTTCCGTCTTTACCTAACCTGGAGATCTTACAGCCCTTCGCACTGAAAAAAAATTCTCGGCGTTTTTACCACCAAGGTCCGTTGGTACCTTTACCATCTCACTTTTTTTACCAATTATTGGTAATTTTACCAAGACAGACTGGTAAGCTTACCAAAAAACCGGTATTTTTACTGTTTTTTCAGGTAAGAATACCTTTCTTATTGGTAATAAATTCCCGGTAACTTTGCCATTTTATCTCGGTAATTCTACCACAGTCGATAAAAATATTGGCGTTTTTACCCAGGTCCAGTAAATTACCGAGACAGTTCAATAAATTTACCGAGATTTTAGGTAAAATTACCAATTCCATAAATGGTAATTTTACCAAGATAAAACTGGGATCAAATAGAACCCTGAATTCTTGGTAATTTTACCCTTTTCTTAGTAAGTACACCGAGATTTTTTTTCAGTGCGGTAATCGGGGCGCTTACTGATGACAAATTGGAGGGTTCTCAAGGAGAAAATGAGCCCTGGGGTCAATTTACAAAGAAAGAAGTTGCCACTCATCCACAAGATTTTAACGCTTTTCGATACAGTATAAGATATAGAAAGGAGGGAAAATGGGGAGGAAGAAAAAACAGAAGAGGAAGAAGATGGAGAAGAGAATAGGAGTGAGGAAAAGAAGAAGAAGAGAGAGGTAAAGGAAGAGGAATAAACCCGGGAATTTCTCAAAAATTCGATTAGTGAAAAATTGCGGGACATTTTGGCGTCACGGCGGTTGGCGCCCCCCCCCCCCCCCCC